GCTCAGCCGTTTCTCATTTGACGTTCTTCCATTCTGTGACACTTCGCTGCCCCCAAAACTCTTTCTTGTTCTCCTCCTGCATCTCGTCTACTCCAGCATTCGTGCTACCACAAGGGTCTGCAGTTTGCCACTTGTCTTGCCCAAAGAATATGGACTGTCTTCTTTTTATCTGTGTAAAGAGTCCTCAAAATGACCTTGCCTTTCAGGTGGACCCAGCCTTGAATGGTTACCAGGTGCAGTGCTGGAACGTAAAGGTGGTCGGCGTGATGCTGACCACATCACCCACCAAGTGCCGATTAGTCTTGAAAACATAGGTCTAGCCCTATATGCCTACTACGCCTAAAGGCGTGAAAAATGGTCCAAAGAGAAATCAGTTCTTTGTGTTAGTTTCTGTTGGTTTTTAAACTGTTATCCGTGTGGGTTCTGGGGTCTCAGTGGGTGGAAAAGGGGGGGGGGGGATGAATTATAAGGTTCAGTGTGTGGACGTGGGGTGGGTGGAGAATATACCCATTGCTTCTCCCCCTCCACCAAACTAGCATGTCGTAAACGTCGAAACCGGGGAGGGGGGGGGGGGAGAGAAGGGTCTTTTAGAAGTCAGTGTGCATCTACCGCAAAGGCAAGGAACTAAAAGTCTGCAAACAGTTAAGCCAGATCTGTGAAACTCAGCTCATGTTCTGGGGAAAAGAAAAGAAACTGAAGTCTTGAAGTGAAGGAATATACAGAACTTTCCGTGGCAGTTCACAGCCGGCGAACGACAAGAATAGGGGGGGGGGGGGGGGGGGGGGGGTGGGGGGGGGGGGGGGGGGGGGGGATATGTGAATGTCCCATATTTAATATTTCTATAATTATCGTGCCATTGATTCGTCATAGTGATCCTCTGACACACGGTGGTGACATGCCAACAAAAAAGTGAGAAATACAAGCTATTTTTCGTCATGTCCTCTTCTTGTGATCGCATACTTGATTTACACGAACAGACGACTTCCTGCGATAACATAGACTTTTCTTTGAAGTGCTTGATTATTTCTATACAGGTTTGAGTAACCAGGATTCCAATCTTAATGGGCTGTACAAGGGATAGTCTTGCAGAATTGTTTTATGGCTTGTAAACCCAGCCGACACAGGCACTGTGGTGAACTATTCAGATGACATCTGTGCAAATGCTTGCTAAGTTTATTACACCGTGTCCTGAATAGAATCTTCTCATGCTGGTCAAGTAAGTGGCATGATTCTTCATGTCATGGAATAGTGTAGATACACGAATCGGTGGAGATCGAAAGTTACGGAGAAACATCACTGCACATCAGTCGGCCTGACACCTATTGAAGAACAAGTCCTTTGATATTTAATTTTAAAGTCTTTATTTCTTACAGTGATTGTGAAATGCCATTGGCGATGATGATGACGTTTAACCCAACCAGAACATCACACAGAGCGATCTATACCTGGTGACACAAAGTGCCCCATTCAGACGAGGATCACCCAGGGAGAGGTGCTAGAAACCCCGTTCAGCTCATAGGTTGGGTTATGTAAGCCCTCCCCCGGCAACAGTTAGGGTGGGGATTTAAAACAACAAACAATTGCGTCCGACATTGGGACGCGTCATCGTAATCATCATGTGCCCTGACTACCAGCGTGGGCGCTCATGCATCTCCACAAATAACGATCCCTGGTTGCCTGAAAACAGCTCTCTTGGTGATATCCCTCAATGCCATCGTTTCAGCCCATCCAGCATCATCTCGTGATCTGCCTCCACCCCATCCTTCCACTGATCTTTCTAGTTGTCACGATGTTTTCCACCATGTTTGTCACAATGTTGGGACACGTGCATGCACAAATGGCATTGACTCACATCTGTATGAAGCCTTTGATAAGTGTTGGCTAAGAGAAGTGTGACGTTAAAGATGCATCTACCACAGATACATATCTTTTCATAATGTAATTTACCCGGTGTTGGTTCCGGGGCCCTATTATAGGGAAAACAAGAATAGAAGCACTGCCTACCCAAAAGCATGTTGTAAGAGTCGACTAATTGGGAGCTTCCTTCGAAGCCGGAGTGCATCTGCCTGAGAGACAAGGAACCGACAGTCTGCATACAGTTGAGTCAGTTCTGTAAAACGGAGGCACACGTAACACTCAGATTCTAAAACACGGCTACAGTCCGAAAGTGGATGAACAACCAGAACTTTCTGACATAGTTTACAGTTGGTGAACATGAAGAAGAAGGAAAGATGAAGATGAATGTAAATCAGGCACGGTCTTGTTACGGCGTTTATTACAAAAATATTATTTGTTCACTTCTTTCACATGCCTGGAGTTCTTCCCCGCCCCACTCCCACCCATTCTTTTACCATTATCTGTATGACGTATTTTCCCCGTCAATGGAATGTCTACTAACTATTGCAGGAATGTGGTCTTCTGACCGCCATGTTTCACCGCGTAGTAAATAAACGCAGTCCACCAACAGCATTGGTCCACGTATGCATATATGGCGAGTATCAAATTAATGAGAGTCCAAAAACAACCTACACATTGCAGAATCAGGATTGCGATCAAGGCCATGAAATATAGGAGAACTTGTAATATATTGACTGACTAACTGTTTCTGCCATCTCCCCACCTGGACCTGCTATCTCAAGGTTGAACAACGCTTCGGCGACTCGCTTGTCAATTCTATCGAAACGAAAAATCCCAGAGCACCCCGTTACACATTCTAGGCTGTTATAGTTGGATACCCTGTTTTACAGATCTAATTTATTTGTGTGCAGATTGTTGGTTCCTTGCCTCTCAGGCAGACGCACTTCGACTTCAACGGAAGACCCCCGCCCCCTACCCAGTCAGTCGACTCTTAAGACAGGCTAGTTGGGGAGGCAGTGCATCTACTCTTGTTTTCCCTACAACGAGGCCCCGTAACCCACACAGGGACGTTCGGATTTGAACCCATAACCTTCAGATCCGCAGGAAATCGTCAAGCTGCCACACCACGGCGGCTCCCAACATTTAGTATGTGCAGTAAATTTATTAATCTGGTGTTGTTTCTACAGTGAAGATTGTAAGTAGTGGATCTCAAACAATCTCTGTTGCTTGTCATATTTGTACACTTTATGAGATTGCTGTTCGTCCATCTGTTGATGTTATCCTACAGTTTCTATCATCTCCCTCTTGCTCGTGTACCTTCAAGTGTTTCCTCCAGTATGATTTTTATGACAGTGAATAATGGGAAGACAGAAGTAATGGTGATTTTCAAGTAAACAATAGTGTCTAAATGTCAAATTAAGAGTCAAAGGCATTATTTTAGGACAAGTTCAGTAATTTAAGTATCTGGGCACACGGATACCAGCCGATGGAGGATATATCACAGACATTAAGAACGGAATAGGTCAGCGAAAACTGTTTTTTATCAAATGACCATTTTATGCAATAAATCCATGTCATTGGAAAAGAATATAGAACCGGTTTTAACATACGGCTGTGAATCCTGGACAACTAATAAACTAGCCGAACAATATCTGGAGGCCTTGGAGATGTGTTTTTACAGAAGAATTCCCTGGACAGCCAAGAAAAGTAACCCAGATGTTTTGAAAGAGGCAGGTGCTCGAAGACAACTTATCACAAACATCGGAAAGAAACAGTGACAATTTTTTGGTCATGTTATGAGATGAGGGAAAATGGAACATACTGCGACCATTGGAAAGATCTGTGGAAAGAGAGGCAGAGGAAGACAGAGCAAGATCATTCTTGACAGTCTTTTGCCATGGCATAGCGGGGTGTCAACACATGAACTGATGCGCAGCTGCGGATTGCAATTTGTGGGGAAGCATGATCGCCCACGCCATTCGGAAAGGTACTTGATGATGGTGATGATGATGATGATGATGATGATGATGTGTCTTATAATGTGACCTATAAATTTCACTTTTTTCAATTTAATTTCTTTCAGCAACTCTCTTTTCAACCCTCAATCTCTTCAAAACCTTTGTGTTACATTATTTTTTGTTTCCGTGAAACACAACATATACCTTTGCATTACATTCTACATACCATTGTAATACATTGCTACCCCCTCCCCCGTAAAATACAACATATACCTCTCTATTACATTGTATATTACTGTATTACATTTTATATACCTCTGTAATACATTGTTTTTGTTTCCGTGAAATACAAAATATATCTTTGGATATTAATGTCTTCAGAGACAGGTACAAGTAGGCTGCAATATCTTTTCCTTTCAGTCCAACACATTTGATTTCAGCAAACTATAAACCCTTCGTCTTTCACGACATGCAGTAGGTACATCCTCCCCCCCCCCAACCCCCACCCCCTCCCACTTTCGCACACACACAAACGCATCTAAATAGTTTGGGGCCCTGCAACCACATGGGAAATTTGTGTATCGTACCAATGGCTTTCTCACTCCCACGAACAAGCATAGGTTTTAATGAATGTACTTCACCTGTTAGAAGGATCCTTACACTTGATTATTTTCTCTGCTATCTGTATAAATTTTTCTGAATATTGTTATCACTCATCGTAGATAACTTTACCTCTCTAACAGGGTCAACAATGTCTGAAACAGTGGCTGTGTCGGCCAAAAGACGCAAATAATGCAACTCTGTTGTAAAAAGACACAGTAAAACCACGTGTGTGTGTCTCTGTGTGTGTGTACAACACACCAGGTATGGTAAAAGAAAGTCTTATTCTCCTGCCCTCTACCTCATCTTGGTCTCCACAGCTGCCAAATATGTAGGCCTAGTGGAAATAGGGGTCTAATTAAAAACCTATAATTAATATCGTTTTTTTTTAAATCTTTATCTCTGCCACTGTCGTATCTTTAGTCAGTGCCCCTAATAAACATACAAAAAATGTTTACAATATCCAAGTCTCAATTATAAACGATGGAATGTGCTCTATTATACTTACATTACTGAACTGAAGTAGAAGAAGACTAAGAACAAGCTTGTAAAAAAAAAAAAGACAACTGACAACAATGAACTCACCGTCGTATTTCTCCAAATCTATGCTGTAAAACATCTCTTCTGCATCTTCCCGCATAATCACGTCTGCGCTAGACTGGCGGGACTGCTCACTGCTCGGTTCTGGAACCAACTCCTCTCGACTTTTCCCAAGAAGTTGAAGAAAGACACACGCGCAGGCACAAACATAACCTAAGTGAGTTCTACCCATATTCTGTTTGTGCCTAACACACGAAGTCTTTTTTAGCTAGGCTGTCCAGTGAGGGCAAAACTATATGCCAATTTGTCACGTTAACAAACTATACGCATGTTAAATACGGAAGGACATTATCTATGGTGAATTACATATAGGAAGATGATGTTAAGGTCGGCTTCTACTACAATATAAAGACGCGGGCAAGCGGGAACAAAATACTATGTTGCCTGAAAAAAAAAAAAAAGGGAGGGGGGGGGGCATAAACAAGGGGAAACAATGAATGCAGAAAGGTAGAGAGCTGATCCTCTAAGAAGAAGCACACCGTATACATGTAATTGCAATCTTCTTCTTCTTGTTTACGTCCTCTTTTACCGCTTCGGGTGTCGAGGGAGATATAAGGTCCCGCATTCGTGCTTTTCTGGCTGTTTCGACAAAAGACTCATCGTGGTACTGCAGAGTTTCTCTGATGTTATTCTTTCATGTTGTTCTTGGTCTACCTCTTGCTCTAAGTTCCTCTCCTCTTTTGGTATATGCCTTGAATTGTATAGCATTTGAACGCATTCTCTCCAAGTGGGCAAACCAGTGGGTAATCACGGTCCTGACAATCGAATGTTCTAACTGTAGAGGACTTTTCTTAACACTGGTTACACTCGCCATTGTCATGCCTGCAATTCCCATTGGCTTGGCTCGCTTTGGAGAAAAAAAATCGTCACCAGCATCCATGAAGGGGGAGCTGTAGGTTATAATTGTGACTAGGTTTGAACACCATATAAGACGGCTTAGCGTTGCTCGCTACTAAGTAGCTCTAAAAGGAACTCTTGTAGTGTTGATGTGATCAAAGGAGACAGACCCAAATACTGTCCCGACAGGTGACGAAGTCGTCTACCGGCCAGACAATAGGCGACCTGGTCGCCGATATATTGCATAATATAACACTATAGTTTAGAAAGTTGGAAAGGTGCCATGGACGACCCACGTGGTACAATTAAATATAAAATAGAGACTTTATAAGAAAAACAAAAGTTTGGATAATATTAGATGATAAAATATAAAGGTTAAAACAAATTAATATGAAAATAGTCCCAGAAAAAGAACTTCGTCCTTTGGTAAACAAAATGTCTAATAAGATTTTGACATAAACATTGCATTGTAGAACACGGCGTAACATGGCTACTAGCTGCTAGGACAAAAGTCCTGGGTTAGAAATCACATCGAGTCAAATTTCATTTGTCAAAGTTGACCATGGCTTTGACCTAGCCTAAAATGGGCGCTAAGCAATGTAATGGGAAGTAAAGGCGATCGGCAAAGTGTTGACCACATCACGCACCAAGTTCAGAGTGGTCTATTAGAATGTCTTGCACTTCGCGCCCGATGTGTCACTGGCGTCAAAATAGTCCTGTACTTTTTTGACTATCGTATGGGAGCCTCAGTGACCCAGTGGCTAGCACCCCTGCCTGCTGCCTGGCGGTAATGTATTTGAATTCCCTTCGAGGCGAGAGTTTTTTTAAATTTGTATCTGGACCTCTTGTTTGAATGTTGAATGTAGAATTAAGAATCGACACCACAGCACTAGGGACACTCCCACAAGTGCTCAGTCTCCATCTTCAGCAGCAAGCGAAGAGTTCCGATTCCGATGGTACCAGTAACCGTCTGATTGTATATCCGTCTCATCCTTGCCGTGAGTGTTAAGTGTCGGCCAGAACCCCTGGTAACTCCTCGCAGCGCCATTCTCCTTAGACTGTAATGATCTATCTGCGCCTCCGCACAACCTCTAGTTTCATACAGGTTTAATAAAATGGTTGTTACAATCACATGCTGGGATTGTAACTGACTCACAGAGCATGGTGGGATATATATATATATATAAAGAAAAAGACAAGAAAAGATAGGAAACCAACGGTCTGCATACAAAAAAGCAAGACCTCTTATATATATATATATATATATATATATATATATATATATATATATATATATATATATATATATATATATATATATATTATTTTTTTATTTTTTTAAAATTGTTTTTAAGGGTATGTTTGTGTTTAAAGCGCTGCTCAGGTAGGGGTAAATCTGTACGAAATAACCAGTTATTCTGTGTATTTACCCTTCACAACAAACTACTGGACGTAAATTTGCCTAGAGAAACCACACAACAGCCTGGGACTGCCGGGGTTGGTTCTGCAACGTTATGTAAAGGTTACGCAACTAAACTAACCCTTCAAGAAATAAAGTATCGAACTGTCATAATCAATTTCGCACAAATGGTTTCTAACAAACGAGTGTAATTATCACAGTACAAAGCGCTCGATAAAATAAATATTAAAAACAGCACATAAACATTGTGATTCCCCATCCCCTCCCCCCTTTTCCCTTTCTTCTAGGATTGCAGTCAGTAAGATTAACGTCTCGTGAATGAGAGTCAAACAGATACACATCCCAGATACCCCATTCACCCAGATCATGAGCTGAGTCAAGAATTGACATCAAAGCACTCGGGGCTTTCCCAGGTGTGCTCCGTCCTCATCTTCAGCAGCCAGCGCAGAGTTCCAATACTGATTGTATCGGTCACAATTGTACCCGTATAATGAATGAAGCTCTACCTCACCATGACAGCATAAACACTCGGTGACACAAAGTGCCACCATTCAGATGAGAATCACCCGGGCGCAAGTCGCAAAAACCCCGTTTAGCCGTTAGGTTATATCAGGCCCCCCGACAACAGCCGGAGTCAAGCTGTAAAATAACGAAAAATTGCGTCCCACAGTGGGACAGTTTCAAGTTACAATTCAACGGTATAATACAGTTACGACCTACGGTTACACAGCAACTTGTGGTCTAATTTGGGTGTGTGAGAAAAGTATCTCGCTAACAATGCAATCTTAATTAAGTAACGCAACGTAAAGGACCCGTAATGTCAATTACCCGTATTAGGGTAGCTAAAGTAAAACGAGAAAACGACTCAAAGTGTTTACTTGTATATACACAAAATAACATTCCCAATGAATAGTAGCAGCACACACCGTATAAATACGATGAAATAGAAATGCCTATCTAACAATATACTGAGCTGCGAAATCACGCAGCTATCAGTCCATTGTTGGGACATGAGAAAAAGGTACGAGGCACGATGTGCTAGGTACGACAACTTTGGGCTCCCGTTTGTATGACATACTTATGCCTGCGTCAGTTGTGTGTGTGTGTACGTGTGTGTGCATGTGTGTGTGCATGTGTGTTTGTGTGTGTGTGTGTGTGTGTGAGAGAGAGATTAGAGCGTTGATCAGGTAGGGGTAAAGTAGTAAGTCTATCTCCCAGTGTCATTGAGAATTTGAGGTCCAAGATAATCCTGACTTCAGTAAACATCGTATACATCGACAAGTGTACAAGTTATGTAGTGACTTTCCTTTCATTTAGTGCTTTTCCTCTTTGTAGTATAATACTTACGAACGAACTATTGAACGAACTATCGTTATTTTCAAAGGGTCACAAAGATATGTAGAGGGGTGTATTTCCTCTTTGTATCTTCTTCTTCTTTTCATTTTCCCTGACATTGGTTTTTCTATGAAGTTTGAACTAAGGATCAACATCATGGCCCACTGGTAGTAATCCATGCTCCGTTCTTCTTCTAATTAAAGTCTGACTCTGCAAAAGCTCAGCACAGTGCACAGGCTCTGTAGCACCGGCGAGGATCCTGAAACACTTTGGGTAGATTTTAAACTCCAAATTTTGCCCGGGCAGCGCCGCTAGGCTACTCTTTTCGATTTCTAACTGCCGAGGGAGTTTTTACATGCGCAACCTGGTAATTTGGTAATCTTAGTTTCAGCTTCATAGCAAACAGGTCAACCCATAGTTGCTCCGCTCCTGTGCCAACGAAAAACACATAAAATGTGTATCACATTTCAAATTAAATCAGCAGCTCACAGTGTCACGCCATGCACTCAACTCAGAAGCTGGGCAACGAAACTATATCCTTCTACAAATGGAGCAAAAATGCAACGGCCACCGTCTGGCAGAAGCAAATGAAAAAAAAATTATTACGGCTAAAAGAAGTGACCGTGTCCATTTTGACCTGAAATATTATGGGAGGGTTAATAGACGGTCACCCCAGCAGTACCCTTACTATTAGCTGGGGAAGGGACTTGGAACATTACATCCACCAGCAAGCGTCGCCCCTACAACGACCTGCCTGCCTTCGTTAACGACTGTTCACCCAACAGCTATGCAGTTCTTTGGCACGAAGGAGACACCTTGAACTTGGGTTTCGGACTGCCGACTCTCTACAAGATGTTATGTTATTTTCTGTTATCACAATCAACGTCACTGCACATTGGGCATTTCCATGCGTGCTCAGTCGTCTGATCTCACTACCCAGAGACCAGGGGGAATTACTATAAGTCCAAGTGCACTTGAAAAATCCCAGCCCTTACCAGGGGTTGAACCTGGAACCTCTAGCACTCGAGGCGGACACAATCCCTCAAGACCACGCAGCCCCCTGGTTTTTCTATGAGAAAGGTACAAGCCTCAGTGAAGGCTGAGGCGTAAAGCATATCCTAAGCTAAGTCACTACTAAATAATAGCATCATGTCCTCCGCTAAGTCACTACTAAATAATGACATCATGAGGACTAATAGACGGATGGTTAAGGCATATAGAGGGAATTCCATATTCTAGAGAGACAAATGCTAAGTTCGCAAAAAAAGTTGAATGGGAGTAGCCCAGGAGACAGACCAAGATGACAACGAAGAGATAAAATAAACGCAGGCCTACCAAATGGAAAGAGAACGTCAGTCAGATAGAGGAACTGAAGCGTGAGATATCTGCGCCTATGAATCTCAAAGACCCCTAAAGCTAGAGAAGTAGAATCTGCTCTTTCATTGCCTGTAATGTAGCAGTGGCGTGATATCCACTGGAGAGCAGTCTGCGTGGTCTCCTGACCCGTGTGATTCAGCAAAGATCTAACTTTTTCAACTGAAGTTACTTATGGGCCTCTTTGTATCATTACCAGACGTTTT